TTAAAACAAAGGTAGAAAAAGAAAAGAAAAAGCAAGAAAAAGAAAAAGGATGAATGTAAAGAAAAAGTGGTTGACAGGAATTAATTCCCGAAATTGTGTGGGAATCTGAGTGGAGAAACTCCATTGAGTTGAATGATGTTAAAGTGAAATAATACCAGTTTTTCAATCTCATTGTTGTTTGAGCTACTAACCATAAATTCCTACCCTTAAGTCTGGCCAACTTACAACCTGTGAAGTCCTTTTGATCAATTATGTATGTGTTAATGTTCCTCATCTTTAGGAACTTGAGAATATGATCAAGCTTATGGTAATGTTATTGCTGTGATGGATTGAGTGATTATTACTCCCTTAAACACTCGAGTGCTGAGCGTTATATGATTATCTTGGTGAGGGGTGTTCAAGCTAGATTCTGACATGTTCATGAGAATAGAAGGCATTGTTAGGAGTTCTTTGCATTGATTCAGTCATGCTTAGCATAGTGATCTCTTGATTGTCTGTATGATGTTGTATTGGAAGAATTAATTGTTTCCTGGATTGAGTCTTGTACATTGCTGAGGACAGCAACGTTTAAATCTGGGAATGATTTGATGTGCCTCTGGAAAGTGTGATTTTCTGTGTTAAAATTGATAAGAACTGAGTCATAAAAGAGCAATTTAAATACATATTTGCTGATTATATTGATTCTTTATTTTCAATAATATTTCACACATATTAATTGTGTTTTTACAGGTAAATCGCGGAAAAATTACAAATGATAAAAAGCCTGTTGACGCGACTCCACACACGACTCCACACAGAGGAAGGTTCCATGTTGCATCGTGTTGCATGGTATAAATGGCAGTGACTTGGCGCCACTTAGCGCCAAACTCATGCTAAGTGGCGCCATGAAGTTGTCCAGCGCCCAAAGCAAAGGAAGTGGCGCCACTAGGCGCCCAAAGTGAATAGGAATGGCGCCAAGTTGCGCCACCGTGCAGCATAAGTTGGCCAGGGAAATGGCGCCGAGTTGCACCAAAGTGGCGCCAGTTTTCGAGAAAATGACTCCGACTTTTTCACAATGGCGCTAAGTGGCGCCGGTTTGCGGGAAAGAAGTACTGTGCTGCGCGAAGGGTATTTTTGGAATAAGGAAAAGAGGTTTATAAATAGGATCCCTATGACAGAATTAGGTATTCAGACCTATTCTTCTGAAGAGAGACGACAGCAGAGCTCTGAGGGGATTCCTGGGATCAAGTTCTTCTTCTCTTTTCTCCTTAATTTTATGCTTTTGAATATTGGATTATTTTTAGCCATGATTATGCTTGGCTAGTTTTCTTTTATTGTAGTTAGGGTCACAAACCCTATGTGAACCCTTGTTACGCGGATTGATTTATAATTGCTCGTTTATATAATTATCTTTATCTCTACCCTGTTCGTATTTTATATTTTCTTTATTAGAATTGATCACTCTAATAGTTGATAATAGTCTGAGGGTTAGAACCCTAGATAGGGATATTGGGGTTTTCATCCTGAAAGGGGGGGGTAGGATAACGGTTCGTATGAATGCTAGGAATAGATGTTTATTGAATTGCGGATGCCTAAATTATAGAGTTCATCACTTAATTTTCATGAGGGGTTGCTAAGAGATTAGGATTCCAATTGGGGATTAAAGGGTTAAATTACCAAGGGATTGGGATTTAACTAATTATCTTAGATAAGAATTTATCCGAGTAATTATATGAATAAGTATTGTGAATCAATCCAAAGTAAGAAGTGGGGATCATAAGGTGAGTGCGCTCTATATGAATAAGTATTGTGAATCAATCCAAAGTAAGAAGTGGGGATCATAAGGTGAGTGCGCTCTAGCTACAATGTTTTTATCATATTTTTAAATCAGTTCTCATTGTTATTGTTTTATTTCACTTAAATAAAAATATAAAAACAAGTCTTTATTTCATATTGTTACTCAAATTCAATTCAAAATTTTTCAAACAACAAACCGAGTTTTCCAACTTAAGGGGACTGGTTATTGTAGTACTTGGTTTACAATCCCTGTGGAGACGATACTCTACTTACTTTCTATATTACTTGTGCGATCGGTATACTTGCCGGAGAGCATCAAACACCCCTATCACTAACAACATATACAGACTATCAACATGGCATAGACACTCCCTATGCTCTCCAAAAGAATAACATGGTATATATACATATCATATGAAAGAACCACCCTCCCTTAGAGTTTGGTGGAACAAACAGGGGATTAACCCCAAGGATCGAAAGCTTACCTGGAATAACTCTTTTTCTAGCCTCTTCCAAGTCAAAAGGTCCACAAGCCAACAAAATGCTCAACAATTGACGACCACACCTATCCATGGTGAATTTGTCACAATTAAACATATACCCATTTCATATAAGTTTCACATCGAACCATTGTTTGATACTTACCTTAATCTCAAGTAATCAAGAGCCTTGCTCAATGTCCATGCTCTTGCTCTACAAGTCCACTTGGTCTCGCACTATAACCAAGGAACACATTTCCATTATTATCCATCATCAATGCATACATACGGTATTGTTCATCTCTACAGTACTATCCATGTATACGTCATTATTCACGTATATGACACTATTCAAAAATATAGTATCTTTAATTTTTTCGAATACATTTTCACCGTTAAAATCTTCATCTAAACACTTTTCTTAACATGAGCAAAGCCTCAATCAAGCTCTAACATGCTCAATCAAGCCAAACTTTCAAAATAAAAACCTAAATTCAATCTTTCTCAAAACTCAAAGAAAGTTAGGATGTCTTAACATAAACTTACCTAAAATCACCCAATGAGTGGATTTCCAACCTCAAATGAGATCAAAACACCTTCCTGGACCTTCAATCAACAAAGGGGCCACTTTCCCTTCTGTTTTTCTCTCAATACAAGGCTTTTTGATAGATTATGGATTAGGGGTTGTTTGTCTCCCAATTCTAAGCAACTTTTCTTTTTACCTCGCTTGATTTCATCAAGAAATGAAGAAGTTGCAATTTAAGCATCCTTCCAATGGCTACGGGTTCGACGCACATAGAAGAAAGAAAGAACGAGACGCACGCGAGGAGGGAAGCCACTATTTCTAAACTTAAATATTTAAGTTACTTTGATTGGTTAAAAGCTTATCTATCTACGCACCTATATTCACTACCTAACTTTACCCAATGGATTAGAATATTTTTCTAATCACATTTCTATTTTTACTTTCACTTTTTTGATAACTTTATTTACCTGTATTTTTACTCTTTAACTGTCATTTTAATTCCTTTTTTTTCACCAAATGTGACTTTATTTCTTTTTCTTCTACTTTTCTTATAATTATTCTTCCATATTATGATTAAAATCATTAATTCATAATTAACTCAACAACTACATGTGAGGGTTATTATATGCTCTATTTTAACAATTTGTCTCTAATCATAAAATAAATAAATAATCATAAATTAAATCAATAAATAAAGACTAGTTGTTAATCGTTATTCATGGGGAGGCTCACTTTTATGTCCTATCCTTTACTTCTTCCACTAACTCAAAATGAATTTTAAAACGATTATTCTACCATTGTCGTAAATAGGAAGTTTTAAAATTAATGTGTGAATATTTAATGATTAATTAACTATTATTCCTTTTGATTAGAAATAAGTATAGTTCTATAAATTCTATTTTCTTTTTGGAGTTACCCAACCCTAATTACCTCTTTGAGGCGAGTTGGCTCCCTTCGGTATCCCCACAAGCTTCGACTCTTTGAGCCGGCTATGGGACTAATCCGGAGTGCGGGGGTCAGTGATGGCTAAATTTTGATTATTTGGTATTTTTAGAAATTTTAAAATATATTATTATTTTTAAACTGTTATCGTTATCTCTTGACATTTTATTAAGGAAAATAAGAAAAAATATTAATAAAATATAATTATTATTTTTTGAATTAAGAATATTTAATTTTTAAGTGTCCACAAGTACTGTTAAGAAATTAAGAAGAAAGAGTAGGTTTGAAAAAACGGAGGGAATCATTGACCAATCTCATAAGCTTGCGCTTTCCCATAAAACAAATAAAGAGAATCTTATATTGTTAACAGGCTGTTTTAAACTTATTTTGATAATAATTGATGATTCATTAACTGTTAAGAAATTGAGAAGAAAGAGTAGGTTTGAAAAAACGGAGGGAATCATTGACCAATCTCATAAGCTTGCGCTTAACCATAAAAGAAATAAAGAGAACCTTATATTTTTAACAGGCTGTTTTAAACTTATTTGATAATATTTGAAGATTTATTAACTTAATTTTATACATTAAGAAATTAATAAATAGACTGATAGTTAATGGTGATTCACTAGGAGGCACACTTCGTTGTCCTTTCCTTTCCTTTTTCAATGACTTAAAACGAATATCCATGCATTGTCACATGTTAAATAATAATTTCAAGTGTCCAGCACATGTTCAGAGATTGAAGGTAGTAGGCATGGTGTTTGTAATGGTTGACCAATCTCTTAACTTTGGGATTAAAGAAGAAAAGAGAACATTGCAGTGTGTGATCCTGAAGTAAAAGTACAAGAACCAGTATCCACCTTCGCATCTGTGATTCGCAACTCAGCTAAGCTAACAGTGCATCTAAGTTCAAGAGGAGACAAAGTATGAAGTTTTCCCATTATGAATATGCATCTACGATTAGACTTAAGCCTACTGTTTAGATTTGATATCTATATGTGATTAAAAACTAAGTTGTCTGTTTTGGCTTTTTTTTTTTAACCATTCCAATATAAATTTATTCTTTTGTAATAATAGTCCTCTGAATGTGGGAATAAAAATTGAGTTATATCCATCATTTATACTTCAATCAAAGTTTATCTTTCTTTCAAATTGATTTCACGCATCACAAACACTGAGATGCTTCTTTGTCATCCAACAATTAAGAGACTAACTTGCATTCCATATAATGATGGATCTCTGACTAATAGTGCACATGATTCTGTTGTCAGGTTACCATGGATTTCATTTCTAATATTGCTAGGGCCGTTGTTACTAGTGTTGCGACAAGTGGTGCTAAATATTTGGTGGATCCAGCAATTCGTGAGGGACAATACTTCTTTTTTCCAAATAAAGTAATCACAGATCTTGAGAATGAAAAGAAGGAGCTGACATCCGAAAGAGGTAGCATGTTGTTTCGTGTTCAACAAGCCAAAGAGAGAACTGAAGTAATTGAAGAACCTGTGGATAAATGGCTGAAAGATGTGGAAAATATCCTGAAAGAGGTGGAGAAGCTGGAACAAAGGATGGACACAAACAACAATTGCTTTGAAGGATGGTGTCCAACCTGGGGAAGATATCTTTTATGCAAGCAACTGGCGAAAAAGATAGAGGAAATGGGGAAATTCAAAGCCAAAAGCAACATTCAGCCATTTTCTCACCTTGCTCCTCTCCCAGGCATTCAGTACCTGTCATCTGAAAATTTTACTTCCTTTGAATCAACAAAAGTGGCTTACACTCAACTTTGGGAGGCACTCAAGAATGATGGCATCTATATGATAGGAGTGTATGGGACTGGTGGATCTGGGAAAACAACTCTTGTAACTGAAGTGGGTAAGAAAGCTGAGCAGTTGAATTTGTTTGATAAGGTTATATTGGTTACAGTGTCTCAATCTCCCAACATTATAAACATTCAACAAAAAATGGCAGATATGTTATCCTTGAAATTGGAGGAACAAAATGAAGATGCAAGAGCACAACGTTTATGGTTATGTTTGAAACAAAAGAAGCGAATTCTTATAATAATAGATGATTTATGGAAAAAGTTTGAATTGAAGAATATAGGGATTTGCTTGGACAATGATTCAAAGGGAAGATGGAAGGTGCTTCTAACCACTCGTCGTCAAGGTGTATGTAGTTCAATGGATTGCCAAAAAAGTATTTATTTGGATCTCTTATCCAAAGATGATTCTTGGACTTTGTTCCAGAAGCATGCAAACATTGATGATGACTTCTCTAAGTCATTAAATGATGTGCCGCGGGAACTTTGTGATGAATGTAATGGACTACCACTAGTAGCCGTAGCTGTGGGATCTTCCTTAAAAGGAAAATCTAAAGCTGAGTGGGAGATGTCATTAGACAGCTTGAGGCATCCAGACACAATCGATGATCAGGTGGAAGAAGAAGTGAGAGATGCTTTTACTTGTCTTAAGTTAAGCTATGATTATTTAGACGACAAAGCAAAGTTGCTTTTCTTGATATGCTCTATGTTTCCGGAAGACTTTGAAATTGATATAGAAGCTTTGATCCGATATGCAGTTGGACTGGGTTTGGGAGGTCGATTCTCATTAGACTCGGCAAGGAGCTGGATCCGAAGTGGTATAAACAAACTTTCAGATTCTTGTTTGTTGATGCATGTTGAGAAAAGGAAAAACCACGTGAAGATGCATGACATGGTTCGTGATGTAGCCTCATGGATAGCAAAAACATCAGAGGATCATAAAATTATTGTAAATATTGACAAACCGCTCAGTACCTTGGCAGAGGATTATTGTGTAAGAGAGTATTTTGCAGTATGCTCGTGGTACCATGGGAATGAAATTTCTCTTCAATTGAATGCTCCGAACCTTGAAATTTTATTGCTACACTTTAGGATACGACCTTCCTTGAATTTATCACATGCAACATTTGAAGAAATGAAAGGGCTCAAGGTTTTCTCTTTAATCAATGATTTCTATCTTAGAGCACCATGGACATTGCCTCAATCACTCCAGTTGTTGTCAAATCTTCAAACTCTGCGCTTGAACAATTGGGAGTTAGGTGATATTTCTTTCATAGCAAGCTTAACAATACTTGAGGTTCTTGACTTGCAAGATTGTAGCATAAATGAACTTCCTAACGAAATTGGAAAACTGAAAAGATTGAAGCTGCTAGATTTGTCAAGATGTCGTATTGAAGAAAAAATCTATAATGGAGCAATAGGAAAATGTTCACAACTAGAAGAGTTATATCTTGCAGAATGTTGTGATCAATACATTTTCCAGAGCATTGTGGATATTTTTACTCTCCCAAAGCTGCAGAGGTTTGTAATATATACTGAATTTTTCAAATCCAATACCTCAATTTTTGACCGTGAGGGAGGAAAAACGAGAGTTCTAGAACTAGTGGATTTTGATATCTCGAATGTGAAGGCATCTAAAATGAAACTTGTACAAATAGCTGAGACTGTTTGTTTGAGAAGCCTTCAAGGAGGAGGATGTAAAAATATCATCCCAGACATGATCGGTGGCATGAATGTTTTGAATAGTCTCCATCTCTATTATTTTTCAGAGGTAGAATGCTTTTTTGATACAATGCCTGATTCTAATCATGGATTGATTCCCGAGTTGGTCGAGTTAGAACTGTGGGGAATGATAAACTTGAAAGAATTGTGTCGAGGTCCACCTCTGCAAGTGCTACGTTTTATTGAGAAATTAGAGAAACTCTGTATACACGCATGCCCACTGTTGCAAAGCATATTTCCGTGGCAATGTAACTTAGAAAATCTTAAGATCCTCATATTAACTAGTTGCTCGCTTGGTGAAGTACTCTTCTCAATGTCTGTTGCCCAAAGTCTACAGCAGCTGGAAGAGCTAACTATAAAAAATTCAGCTGAATTGAAGCATATAATTGAAGGTGGAAGAGAGGATGGCTCTAATACAAGCAGGGAAGTAGTTCCAGCTCTTGTGATGCCCTGTTTGAAGACAATTTACATTGGTTATTGTAATAAGTTAGAGTCTATATTCCCAATCTGTTGTGTCGAAGGACTTGCACGATTGGAAGAGATAGTTATCTGTTGGGATACTGAGCTGAAATATGTGTTTGGCGAATGTGATCACGAAGATCATTCATCTCACCAATATGATAACCATGTCATGCTTCCTCATTTGAATGTTCTCAACCTTATGCATCTTGAAAATCTCATTGGGATATGTCCCGAAAACTATCGTGCAAATTGGACACCTTCGAGGGAGCTAACTGTTTGGGATTGTTCAAAATTGAGAACATCATGGATCGCTGTGATGGGTGGCTCCGAGTTTGAGAGGAATTCAGGTGAGTCCTCTCCCCTGCAAACTAGGACTACTGACATAAAATATCCTAATTATTTTGGTTTTTTTCTAATTTTTTGAAAACTTAATAGTTATTTAGAATAATGTTTAGATAGTGAGATAGACAAACCGACCAATTTGAAACTTATTTTGAATACGTCTCACATCTTATCTATGACTTGATTTGCACTTGATTTTTCTTGGTCATCGAATGAAACCACAAAAGATGAATTTTACTGTTATAATATAACTCTAGAAAGGTCACACAAATCACGTGAGCAACTAATATTGTCAATATGAAGCATGAAGTTGAGAGTTGTCAAGTATATGCCCTGAATGTTAGACTCTTGGAGTAATTTTTATTGGCAGACTGTTCAATGTGCGCATGTTTGGAATGATAGTGTTCAATATTGAAGATAGATTCCACTTTGAAAGAATTTTTTTTAGGACATAGTGTCACACTCATAATTGTGTATGGGACTCAAACAGTCAACATAAATTAGTTTTTATTTGCACATTCCAATATAGCATTCAAAATGATTATTTGAGTGTGTAAAGTGAGAAAATAGTTCCTCCTAACTAGAATATTTAAATTTGTTGGTGATAAAGGTGCAATTAGAAGAAGCGAAAGGAGAAGATGATGAACTAGAAGAAGAAGAATACGATGAACTAGAAGAAGAAGAAGATGAAGATTCCTCTTCTGATTGAAGACCACATCCCCATGCTCTCAATTGTAACATCTCGAGCGCTGACCAGGGCGGGGAGTGATCACCGGTGTAAAGAGGAACGGACAAGGAGCGGCTCCTGACAGGCTTCCAGTGGGGGGTTACATGCATGAATGAATCGAATCAACACCCGAACGAGAGGGATTCCAAAGACTGTGCAGGTATGAGACTGCACAGTTTGGAATAGCTTATAAGAATTAATTGATACTACCTATACAAACAAGATGCATCTTCTTTTCGGTAGCCTGGAACGGAAGAACTCCATAGTTAAGCGTGCTTAACTTGGAGCAATTCTGGGATGAGTGACCTCCTGGGAAGTTTTTCCGGGAAGTGTGCGAGTGATGAAAAAGCACACTGAAAAGTCTCATGTTAGTATGTGAGGATAGTCATTGATTCTTGAAGCGGCTGGGGCGTTACATCAATGGTAAGAAATCAAGTGGTGCAGATAACACAATATTATCTTATAACTTATATATAATTGAAAAATTGTGCAAGTATCGTTAATTAAGTAAAGAATGTTCAGATTTCGACAAAGATGAAGGTGAACAGGCTGATAACTACAGTTTTATAAGTTATTATTCAATTTATGTTATTTGTGTATGGAATCGTGTCATACTTGTGCTTGTGAATATGGTTATAGACGGTTTTTTTTTTTTTTTTTTCTCAGTTAAGAGTTTACAACTAGTAAGGAGTAAGAATGACGTTAGTTGTATGGGAATTTTGAAATGTGCTACTATGGAGGATTATGCGTATGTGTTCTAAGATGTGAAGATTTTCACTTGATATTCAATTTCTTATAACTTGCTGAAGAATAACTTAAATAAATATTTATTCATGCATCAATAGTAAGTCAGTATGAGAATTTTATAAAAGTAACTTTAGGTATATATAAAGAGAAAATATGGGAAAGGGAAAAGTAAAAAGGAATCAGAAATATAATTGAAGGAAAGATGCAATAATATAGATCAGTAATTTCGTATTTCTTCCATAAGGATGGAAAATGATTGGTAGGGATTACTCTGATTATATGTGCTCAATTCGTCCAACTTTAAATTACAATTGAGCCATCTTCCGTTTTGCAAATGAAAAGACCTTATAAACAAGTCTCATTGAGACAACTATTGTGGAAGTATCCGATCAACTAAGACTTTATCAAAATGATTCAGTTTTCATCTCAAAACTTTTTAAGTGTTTCTAAATGTGACCTAAAGAATATTAGTTCATCTACATTACGTGTCACAGAAAAAGGCTGGATACTTAATCTGTAGAAACAGTGGTGAGAACTTTAGATAATACCTTTTTTTGAGATATTTTCAGGAGAAGGAAGATGTCTAGGTTAACAATGTTAGATAACACCTGTTATGAGGGTCTAAAGTTACTTCAAAGCAAGGAAATGACATTGTGATGAGAAATTTGAAAAGATAATTAATAACTAGGTTAGTTACTGAAAAAGCCAAGTATACATATTGCCTGAATTTTCTCTGCATTAGAATATCTCCACTTTATTAGAAAGCTGTTCGGATGGAAAAAAGAAATTTATGACCTTCACGTAACTGTAATAACAAGAGTTTCTCTAAACATATTTGTGTATAGTTCTGTTGAAAATAACTTTATTATCTTCTCTATTCAATTCAATGCTGCATTAGAGGACAATTATGTTGTTTACCAAAAAAAAAAAAAAAAAAAGGATAAATATGTCTGGCAGGTTCTGTGTAACGCCCCGTCTGCAGCCGGTTAATTAACATTTATATGATAGTAAGCGCAGCATGCTCAACTTAATTAATGCGGAAGCTAACTGAATAAATTTTTTCTCTTTTTCCTTATTGAAAACATTTTTACTTCCATGGCCAAAATAAAACGGACAGCATTTCCTCTGTATTTTGGACCTCTGGGGATAATTCCCACTATGATAATTTTAACCTGATTGACAGTTTAATATAATTCAGGCATATCACAGCATAGATAAAACATATTGCTCAGTCATCCATGGCCTAGGCTATCTCATAATCATACTGTCTCAAAATAATGTCCATGATGTTAGTTATATAATTACATCAAATAAACAAAAGAGATGCAATTAAATAAGTAACATAGACCTAAGCATGCATACCTAACAACATATACAGACTATCGACATGGCATAGACATCTCCTATTGTAACGTCCGGCCGCTTCAAGAATCAACGACTATCCCCACATACTAACACAAGACTTTTCAGTGTGCTTTTTCATACTAACACAAGACTTTTCAGTATGCTTTTTCCTCTCACTCGCACACTTTCTTTGTTTTTCCAATAATCTCCAAATTTGTACAAGCTCACTAATGCCTCAAAGTACCTAATAATCCAACAATAATACAGTAATAATCCAATGGGTGGCACACACAAGGACCAACAACGCCTTGGGGCACTTACAACTCAATCCAGTTTATATTTATTACACAGTTTATACTATAGAGCTCACATTATATTCCTTACTTGTTTCAATCACAAAGGTCTCATTTACATGTAGTTTCACAATATAAGCATATAACATAACTCTAACATAGGCCTAAAATCCTTCCATCTTAGTACATCATGCATCTCTTTTACATTTACAACATATACTTAAATATTACAACTTACGACTTCAACTTCAAATTACCCTTTACAATATTACAACTTCAATTACAAATTTAAACATAAATTCAAATGATACAAACTACTAGACTTAGGCATGCCAACATGAACAATATGCCAAATACTGAAAATGTTCCTCTATCACTCTGCGGGCCTCTTACCCGCTGCTCCAACGCCACAGGTACATCCTGAAATAAAATGCCCCGAGACGGGGTGAGATATACGAATATATCTCAGTAACCCAGAGGTTCTGGAGAAAACTCCGCCCAATGGTTCACTTCGATGCATATGAATAGAATACAACAACCAATTTTAAAACGGGATATAGCAAGGGTTTTAGAGAAATGGGGAATATAAAGATACAAACTACGACGATACGGGATGGTAACCCCAATTCCACGTACGCCCTGGGCATATATAAGCCTATGGGTATCATCCAAGGTGTGTTCAAAAAACCACAACCATGATGCCCCAACCATCCAAAACGCCAAAGACATTCCTAGTGTGCTCCTACCCGAATCACACACCATGACCCACGGTCAACTGGAACTCCCTCCTGGAGACCTATCCAGTGGAAGTCCGAAACTTCCCGAAGGCTAATAAAACTGTCTACTGGCCAGAGACTCGGTATATAAGTACCCATTGTAATAATGCATGCATGCTCATGTGTTCTATACTACTCATACACACTTCCTACCGTTGTCATCAACTGGCAAGGTGGAACAGAAAAGGGGAACAAGCCCCAGTACCAAGAGGTTACCTTAAATATTGTTTTCACAAGCTCCGCAGCAGCTTATCCCTCAACTTGGTACACAGAAGAATGCCTACACAGAGGACATTCTCAATCTCTTATAATTCAAACAATACATGCTAATTTACAATTATCCATGCATTGAACCAATTATATACCTCAATCCACTTGGTCCAGGACCAAGGGCAACTCCCAGATTCAAGATTCGGGATTCAAGTCAACGTACGGCAACCTATACAATCACGTACATCCATCAGTACGCGTCAAACAGCATCAAAACGCAAAAATCACGAAATCACCTCACCAACACTTGGTAGGTTCGGCCATCCTAGGCTTATTTTCAATTTTATTTTTCTAAATTTTATTTTTCATTTTATTACCCCTCAATAGGTTGTCCAGAGGCCAATTCAAGTGCCGGTTCGCCATTTTCGCGTCGAATTACATCAGAACGCGAAAACCGCAAAATCCCCCCTTCCTCCTTGAAGGTTCGGCCATCTATGTGTTATTTGGGGATTTATTTTTTCTAAATTTTCTTTCTCATTTTATTACGCATCCTTGGGTTGCCTAGAGGCTAGTTCAATCGTCGTTTTTCCGTTTTACGACATTTACGCATCGTTTTGCGAAATATTTCACTCTAGGTTCTTTATGCCATCTAAGCCACTTATTATTTTTGCATTGATTCTTCCACTTGCCAATCACCACACAACCCATCTAATTACCTTTTTAACACATAATTCATCACTCAAACAATTTCCAACAACATCAATTCCTTAATTTTCCTTTAAAGGCCAAGTTGTAACCTAGGGCAATTCTTGGATTTCCATTCACTTTTAATCACTCCACACCTCACACAACCACATTATATCATCATATAATCATACAACAACTCATTAATTAATTCCCAACAAAATTCCAAAACTCAAAGTCATGACATTCCTCAAAATTTCTAAGTTAAATTTTCATAATTTTCATCAATAATTTTCATGGCATTTCTAGCTCTCACACATCATTCTAAGACATTATCATCTAATACACATTTTCCAATTGAGCTCTCTAACAACACAAATCATCAAATTCCCCCTTAGGGTTCATGAATTCAATCCAAGGATTAAACCGTTAAAATGGTGAAGAAACTTACTCAAAAGCTTGGCACAAGACTCCTCCAAGCTATCCTAAACCATTGGAGCTCCAAACAACTCCATGAACATCATTTTTCTCCAAAATTTTGTGGCTGTAAATGGCCCATATCTCACCAAAGAGAGAGTTTCAAGGTTAATGGATACCACCAATATGTTTGGAAGGTTGTTCCCAACAAATTTCAACACAAAAATCGCTTGATTTGGTTAAGAAATGATGGATTTAGAAGGAATTGAAATTTGAATGAAAAATGGGGTTATTTGGGGGGAGGAGCACGGTTTTGGCATAAGAAGGGGAGAGAAGGTGATGATGAATAGTGGAATGATGATGTGGTTTAAGTGGATTTAAAGTGGGGTGGGTTCCACGCCACCTCACGCGATCTAAACTCATCCGAATTTTCTTCCGATTTCACTAAACGTCCAAGGATTCACAACCTATTTAAAAACTCTAATTTTTAACATTAACCATTCTCCTTTAATTATACTAGGTCAGATGAATCCGGAGATCCAAGCCCTAGAAGAAAATCATACATGGGCTATCACCGAGTTACCAGCTGGGAAGCATGCTCTTCCATGTAAATGGGTCTATAAAATTAAATATCACTCAAATGGCAACGTCGAGCGTTACAAAGCCCGATTAGTAATCGCAGGCAATCACCAAATTCCAGGCGAGGATTTCACTGAGACTTATGCTCCAGTAGCGAAAATGGTGAGTGTTAGAACTTTACTCTCGATTGCAGCAGCAAAAGGTTGGTATTTACATCAAATGGATGTTCATAACGCGTTCCTTAACGACGATCTTGATGAAGAAGTGTACATGCGCATCCCAGCTGGCTTTAATCAAGGGCAAGGCAGCAAAGTATGTCGCCTACAAAAGTCCTTATATGGTTTGCGATAGTCTCCCAGAAATTGGTTTGCAAAACTAAGCACTTCTCTTGTCCAATATGGTTTTATTCAATCTGCAGCAGATCACACTTTATTCACTTTGCAGCGTGGTCCTTGTTTCTTAGCCATTTTGATCTACGTTGACGATTTGGTGTTGGCAGGGAATGATTCACAGGCATGTCAAGAGGCTAAAGCTTATCTTAACAAATGCTTCAAAATTAAGGATTTGGGCCAGTTAAAATATTTTTTAGGCATCGAAGTTGCTCGTCATGATGACGGTATTTTCTTGTGTCAACGTAAATACGCGTTGGATATTCTCAAAGAAACTGGTTTGTTGGATTGTAAACCAGTTCAGTTCCCAATTGAACAAAATCATCGTTTGGCTCTAGATGATGGTCCTGCCTATGGTGATCCGGGACGTTATAGACGAATTGTGGGTAAGCTAGTCTATCTTACAATAACTCGGCCTGATTTAAGCTATGCCGTGCATATTCTCTCCCAGTTCTTGCAAGCTCCGAAGGAAGTGCATTATGAAGCTGCTATCAGAGTATTACGATACCTCAAAATGAATCCTGGCCAAGGAATTCTCCTTCCTTCCAAGAGTGATCTCAAAATTCATGCTTTTTGTGACTCCGATTGGGCCAGCTGTCCTTTAACTCGTAGGTCAGTTTGGTTCTTTATTATGCTTGGAAATTCACCTATCTCATGGAAAACAAAGAAGCAGCTCACCATCTCACGCTCCTCGGCAGAAGCTGAATACCGCTCCATGGCAACCACCACGGCTGAATTAGTTTGGTTGAAGTCCTTTCTTGCATCTCTTAATGTTTTTCATGATGATCCAATGGAGTTGTGTTGTGACAATCAAGCGGCTCTACACATTGCAGCCAACCCTGTGTTTCATGAGCGCACCAAACACATTGAAATTGACTGCCACTTTGTCCGGGAACGGTTGTTATCCAAGACTATCCGTACTATTTTTGTTCGATCTCAGTTCCAACTTGCGGATATTTTCACAAAGGCACTTGGACGCGCTTCCTTTATGGCTTTCCTTCCCAAGTTAGGCATTTCATATCTTCATGCTCCAACTTGAGGGGGAGTGTTGGAATAGAAGATTCGATCTGATCTGATTGTTATTAGTTGTAGATTGGTTGTTATCTTAGTTTGTTAGGATACCTTTTTCCTAGCTTATTTTGTTATCTGATGTATTCTAGGATAGTAGCATCTTAGCTGTTGCATATATTTAGGAAGTAGTTGCACCCATCAGGAACAGCCATAAGCCTATTTATTTGTATTCATGTTCACTTCATACGATAGAGAATTAATGGAAACAATTTCCTTTTGTACAATTTATCAGAAATGTTCACAACTAGAAGAGGTATATCTTGCAGCTTGCTCTGACAAGTACATTTGCCAGAGCATTGTGGATATTTTTACTCTCCCAAAGCTGCAGAGGTTTGTAATACATACTCATTGGTTCGAAAGCTGCAGTAGTTTTATCACGGAGGGAATGACTAGAGTTTTGGAACTAGTGGATTTTAATATATCCAACTTGAAGGCATCTGGAAGGAAACTTCTACAAAAAGCTGAGACCGTTTTATTGAGAAGCCTTCACGGAGGATGTAAAAATATCACCCCAGATATGATCAGAGGCAAGAATGATTGGATTAGTCTCCATCTCCTTGATTGTGCAGAGGTAGAGTGCCTCTTTGATATAACGTCTGATTCTGCAGATGCGTTGATTCCCAGTTTGGTCGAGTTACAGCTGCAAAGTTTGATAAACTTGAAAGAATTGTATCAAGGTCCACCTCTGCCAGTGCTCTGCTTCTTTGAGAAATTACAAAAAATCCATATATATGATTGCCCACTATTGCAAAGGATATTTCCATGGCAATGTAACTTAAGAAATCTCAAAATCCTCATAATAGAAAAATGCTCGTCAGTTGAAGTACTCTTCTCAATATCAGTTGCCCAAAGTCTGCAGCAGCTGGAAGAGTTTACTATAGAACATTGTGATGAATTGAAGCATATAATTGCAGGTGGAAGAGAGGATGGCTCTAATACAAGCAGGGAAGTAGTTCCAGCTCTTGTGATGCCCTGTTTGAAGAAAGTTTCGATTGATGATTGTGTTAAGTTAGAGTTTATATTCCCAATGTGTTGTGTTGAAGGACTTGCACAATTGGAAGAGATAAATATCAATAGTTGCCATGAGTTGAAATATGTATTTGGGGAATGTTATCACTTTGATCATTCATCTCACCAATACAATAACCATATCATGCTTCCTCATTTGGATGTTCTCCAACTCAGCTTTCTTGAAAATCTTGTTGGGATATGTCCCGAAAATTATCATGCAATTTGGACACCTTCGAGGATACTAAATGTTTGGGATTGTCCAAAATTGAGAACATCATGGATCGGTGTGATGGATGCCTCTGAGCACAGACGGCAGCATATGCATGAAGTAGGTACTCTTTTTAAAATGTAAAAGTTGATTTGATTTAATTTCATACATTTGTAGGAATATAAATTTCAGTTTTCTGTTACTTATTTATACCGTTTACTAATTGATGTTTGTAATACTACCCATCCCATTATTTGGTTAGTTACATTTGAATATTCCATTTTCAGGAAATCATCCACTTGCCCTCAAAACTGCAAGAACTTTGTTTACATGGTTTACCTCAACTGAACCTTATATCATGGGTGGGTCTTACTCCCGGACAGATTTTGAGATTCCAAGGTCTTCGGCAATTACTATTGTTTCATTGTGAAAACTTGAAATCTCTGTTCTCCATGGCAGCACATAGAAGCTTACCAGAGTTGATGTCCCTTCATATACGTGGCTGTCAAGAATTGGAACAAATCATTGAAAAAAATGAAGAACTTGAGCAGCACCTATCCAATGCTGAAGTGTTTTTTCCAAAGCTAACAGATATAGAGATCGAAGGATGCAACAAGTTGAAAAGCCTTTTCTCTGTCGCTATGGTTAGAATGCTTCCACAATTGAGACGTCTTAGTATAGAGAAGGCTAATCAACTAGAAGAGCTTTTTAGACATGGCAGTGAAGACAGCACTATCAGCGAAGACAGCATATTTCCATGGCAATGTAACTTAGGAAATCTTAAAATCCTCAGAATAAAAGAATGCAACTCAATTGAAGTACTCTTCTCAATGTCGGTTGCCCAAAGTCTGCAGCACTTGGAAGAGCTGAGTATAGAATGGTGTGCAGAATTGAAGCATATAATTGAAGCAGGTGGAAGAGAGGATGGCTCTAATACAAGCCGGGAAGTAGTTCCAGCTCTTGTGATGCCCTGTTTGAAGACAGTTCAGATTGGTGTGTGTAAGAAGTTAGTGTCTGTATTCCCAATTTGTTGTGTTGAAGGACTTGCACGACTGGAAGAGATAGATATCAGTGTGTGTGATAAGTTGAAATATGTATTCCATGAATGTGATCAGGAAGATCATTCATCTCACCAATACGGTAACCATATCATGCTTCCTCATTTGGATGTTCTCAGTCTCCTGAGTCTTGAAAATCTCATTGGGATATGTCCGGAAAACTATCTTGCAAATTGGCCATCTCAGAGGATGTTAACTCTGAAAGTTTGTCCAAAATTGAGTACAGCCTGGATCGCTGTGATGGCTGGCTCTGAGCATAGACGGCAACATACGAATGAAGTACGTACTCTTTTTAAAATTTGTGAAAGTTGATTTGATTTAATTTCATACATTTGTAGGAATATAAATTTCACCACGTTACCAGTCTGCATTGGATGCTTTATAATTTTGTGTTATTTATACCATTTACTTATTGATATTTGTAATATTACCCATCCTACTATTTGGTTAGTTACCTTTGAATATCCATTTTCAGGAAATCATCCACTTGCCCTCAAAACTGCAAGAATTTCATTTAAATGGTATACCTCAACTGAACCTTATATCATGGGTGGGTCCTACTCCCGGACTGACTTTGAGACTCCAATGTCTTCGGGAATTACATTTGTATTGTTGTGAAAACTTGAAGTCTCTGTTCTCCGTGGCAGAGTATAGAAGCCTACCAGAGTTGGAGTTCCTTGATATATACGGTTGTGAAGAATTGGAACAAATCGTTGAAGAAAATGAAGAAGAACTTGAGCAGCACCTATCCAATGCCGAAGGCGTTCTTTCCAAAACTAACATCTTTATGGATCGAAGACTGCAACAAGTTGAAAAGCCTTTTCTCTGTCGCTATGGTTAGAATGCTTCCACAATTAATCTTTCTTGCTATATCAGAGGCTACTCAACTAGAAGAGGTTTTTAGACATGGCAGTGAAGACAGCACTATCAATGAAATAGAAATTGTGCTTCCAAACTTAACAGAGGTAGACCTGGAAAATCTGCCGAGTTTTGTTGATGTCTGCCAGGGTTTTAACTTACAGGCCCTAAAACTTAAACAACTGAAAATAGAAGAATGCCCCAAAGCTGCTTCGAGTTTGAGAGCAATTCAGGTGACTCCTCTTCCCTGCAAACCACGAGTACTGACATAAAATGTCCACATTATTTTGGCTTTTTCCTAATTTTTTGAAAACTTAATAATTATTTAGAATATGTCTCACATCTTCTCTATGACTTGATTTGCACTTGATTTTTCTTCGTCACTGAATGAAACCATAAAAGATGAGTATTACTGTTATAATTCTAGAAACGTCACAAATCACGTGAGCTACCAATATTGTCAATGTGAAGCATGAAGTTGAGAGTTGTCAAGTATATGCCCTGAATGTGAGACTCTTGGAGTAGTTTTTATTCGAAGACTGTTCAATGTGCTCATATTTGGAGTGATAGTGTTCAATATTGAAGATAGATTCCTTTTTGAAATAATATTTTTAGGACAGTGTCACACTCATTATCGTGTATTGGACTCAAACAGTCAACATAAATTAGTTTTATTTGCACATTCCAATACAGCATTCCAAATGATTATTTGACTAAAGTGAGAAAATAGTTCCTCCTAACTAGAATTTTTTAATTTGTTGGTGATAAAGGTGCAACTAGAAGAGAAAGAGAATATGAAGAACTAGAAGAAGAAGAAGAAGATGATGAATATTCCTCTTCTGATTGAAGACCACATCCCCATGCTCTCAATTGTAAGAGATCAAGTGGTACAGATAACATAGTATTATCTTATAACTTAGTTATATATAATTGAAAAATTGTGCAATTATCATTAATTAAGTAAAGAATGTTCAGATTTCGACAGAGATGATGTTGAACAGGCTAATAACTAGAATTTTTTAAGTTATTATTCAATTCATGTTATTTGTGGATGGAATGTGTCATACTTGTGCTTGTGAATATGGTTATAGATGGTCTTTTTTTTTTTTTTTCCTTCTCTGTTACGAGTTTACAACTAAGGAGTAAGAATGATGTTAGTTGTATGGGAATTTTGAAACTGTGCAAGTATGGAGGATTATGCTTATGCATTACTAGTATGTGTTCTAAGATGTGATAATTTTCAATATGATTTTCAATTTCTTATAAATTGCTGAAGAGAAACTTGAGAAAACATTTATTCATGCTTCAATAGCAGGTCAGTATGAGAATTTTATAAATGTAATCTTTTGTATATATAAAGAGAAAATATGGGAAAGGGAAAGGTAAAAAGGAAGCAGAAATATAATTGAAGAAGGAAAGATGCAATAATATAGATTAGTAATTTCGTATTTCTTCCATAAATATGGAAAATTGATTTGGTTGGGATTATTCTGATTATATGAGCTCAAATCTGTCTGGTTTTTGTCCAACTTTAAATTACAATTGAGTCATCTTCCGTTATGCAAATGAAAAGTCCTTATAAACAAATCTCCTTGAGACAACTATTGTGGAAGCACGTAAAAGTATCAGATGAAGTAAAAGTTCATCAAAATGATTCAGTTTTCATCTCAAAACTTTTTAAGTGTTTGTAAATGACACCAAAAGAAGGTTACGTCACCTACAAAAAAAAGAAAAAGAAAAGAAGAAGATTACTTCATCTAGGGTGAATACTTAATGTGTAGAAACACTGTGGTGAGAATTTTAGATAACACTTCTTTATGAGATATTTTCTGGAGAAGTAAGTTGTCTAGGTTAACAATGTTAGATAACACCTGTTATTAGGATCTACATTTACTTTAAAGCACAGAGAAGACATTGTAATAAGTAATTTAAGTAGAAAATTAATAACTAGGTTAACAATTACAGAATAAGTCCACTTTGTTATAAAGCTGTTCGGATGGAAAAAAGAAATTTATGACCTTCACGTATCTGTAATAACAAGGTATAGGAGTTTCTCTAAACTTATTTGTGTATAGTTCTGTTCAAAATAACTTTGTTAAGTACCTTCTCTATTCAATGCTGCATTAGAGGACAAATATGTTTGGGCAGGGTTCTGCTCTGGAAGAAATCGAAGTTTAACTTCTTAGTATTTATTTAGCATTCCCCCTTTTCAACTATTGCTTTATCACAGCCGTTATGAGTTTCAAATTTCCCCAACTAATCTACTTTTATTTTCAGCAACACTATTATTCGGTGCTATTAATATGCCTTTCCCCCTTGTTTTATTGACTATCCTTAGGTACTGTAATTTGGAAATTTAGTTTTGGAAGGGAAAATGCTTTTATTTTACAAAAGTAGTAAGAATCTTTATATTTACATTATAATCTTTTGCAGTACTTCAACTACTGATCATTTGATTAAATGAGACCCTTCTAAGGCAAAACATTCGCCCGTGTGGTTAGCTGCATCAGAAGCCAGAAGGTGACAAGCCAAAAATTGAGGAACTCTTGAGAGTTGGAGCAAATTTTTTTTTTTTTTTGATAAGGAGTTGGAGCAAAATATGATGTAAAAGATGCAGATGGATGGACAACACAGGATAGGGAAGAATGATGACATTAAAGATCCCATTCTTAATAGTCCTCTGCAGTGCTGAGGACATGATTTTTATTTTTTATTTTTTTTGTGAAAGAGAACATGATTGGTTTGTTTGCATTAAGTGCCAGTTCAGTTACATAGTTATTTATATTATGATAACTTTTGAACCGTGTAAGTTTATATGCTTTGGGTTGATAATAAGCATGAAGTTTATCTCAGTAATCAGTGTATAAACTCATGACTAAACTTAGATTTACTAATCATGGACATGTAATATTTTAACTCATAAATTTGTTATTATAATCACAGTGGTGAGTACAATGTTATACAGGGATTGAGTATTGAGTGGTCAATTTGAATATAAAACTCTCCTCTGGCTGTTGTCTGTGCGGTGCAACTGCCACACCACATTCACTATATATCGCCTGTGCAAGGTTTCCATATAAAACCCCACTTGGCCATTGTGCTTTTCATGTTAAAAAGAACAACCACACAGCAGCTCTATAGGCATCAATCCAAGATAAGAGATGCATCCTGCTACAAATTGATAGTCAAAATGAGCATTTATTTTACTGTAACATTAGAAGCTTACCATCTTCGTGGCAAGTCTGGTACATTAAATTACGAGTAAATATTTTTTTTGGTATTCAGCAAATTTTACGATGCCCGCTTTAGTCCCTAGCAAATAAAAAAGTTATTCGTGGCTCCTAAGAAATTCAAAATGGACTTGTAACATGTAACATCCCCGTCTCGAGCCGGTTCAATTAACATACATATGATAAAACAGAAAACAGCGGAAGACTTAACTTCTGACAATACGAGCTAACTTTTTTTTTTCTACTTTAATTCTGACTCGGGGTAAACGAAAATCGGGCAGAGTTTCCTCTATAAATCGGACAACTGGGGATTTTCCAATCCCACACAGAAGCATTTCCTGATAAACAGTTTATACAAATATAATCAAATTCCCATCCATGGGCGCATGCATAACTTGGCTCAGTGCCACTATATCTAACAGCATGCAATCCAACACGTAAACATATCTGAATACTACCTCATCACATAACGTGCCTGAATACCCAAATGTACATGCATCAAAGCGACAGACGTGTACAAAACATATACAGGCCATATACAAAATAAAGGATCAATATCATGATCCATCAAATGCGAAAATACTAAAATACATCAAACACTCCAAAAAGGTAGTAGCCTACAGCCACTCAAAATCCGATCTCTCAACTGCCTCAGCCACGTGTCGTGTCCCTGCCTAGTGAGGACTCACCGGGAATCTGGGCACCTGAAAATGTGTCCCCAAAGAGGGGTGAGATTACAAATCTCAATAAGCTCCAGGTTTATAGAGAATTCTCCATACCCCTGGCTCACTCCTGCATGAAAGTCAGATACAAAGTATACGAATACAACATATAACAGATATCATAACAGAACAGAGCATATATCCATATCATATCAGAGATGTGCGCCGTCATTCCCAAGGGAGGACCCCAAGCGGAAATCAACGCACGTGTTCCCGAGGGAGGACCCCAAAGCGGAACCAGACATATCAGAGGAGTACACCATCAGTCCCGAAGGAGGACCCCAAAGCGGACGTCCGGGTACTATACAATCAATGGCCAGAGATTGTTACAGAAATCAAATTACAGAAGTCATATCAGAGCAAAACATATCATGTTATCAAATAACTCTATATGAATGCATCTATACAAAGCATCTAAATCACAGTCATACAGTCCAACCATAGTTCACTAACCATGGTGGAGCACTCAAGCAGGAAAAGACTCCTTAAACATAGAGCTTACCTCTTGAAGCTTTACCAATACGCTTACTTGTGGAACAAGTTACTTTTATCGCTTCAAGAGATTTCCGATCCTTCTCAATCCCTAGGCACACCTAGAGAATAATTTACAATGCATCAATAAAATGATGCAATACCATAATTATTTCATAAGCATACATTTTATCGCTTATTTTCCTTTCTTTGCATTTTTGCCAATCCTATGCCAATACACAAGTCTAGACCTCTTTATAACCGTTGGTGTTCTTTAATTTAATCAACCATTCCCTTAGGAATTTTCAACATAAATCATGCTATTTTTCTTCAAAACTCATCACCTTTATACAATTTATTTCAACACATTTTATTTAAAATAAAATGTACAAAATATATCCCTAAATACCCTATAGGTCGAACACTATAAGGAAATAGGCAAGGGTTCTTTTCTTTTTAATTAATGTAACTTACACATACAAATGTATGTTTCCCTATTATTTCAACTTAATGTTTGGACATCAAGTCCTTCCCAACACCTCAAGGCCGAAGTGTAGGATCCAAAATACATAGGATTTTTCCCTTTTGGCCTTCTCACTAATTTCACCAATTCTATTCTCTCTCAAGCACCTTAGGCTCTCTTAATACATCATATAAATTTTTTGCCCAATGGTCCCTATTCAACCTATCATGGCCGAACTTAGGGGAGTGCAAACCAAGGGAATTTTTCTTCATTTAACACATGTTGATGTTTCTCTTCTACACTAAGACTTCCTATACAAAACAAGCCATCATAATTTTCAAGTTTTATACTACTTTCTTTCTCACCCACACATGCTCACAAATTCA